TATGATCCCTTGTTAAATGGGCCTTCCCGCGGAAGAATAAAAAAAGATATCACGTCGAATAAACGATACTTCGATCAAAAAGTTGAGAGAGAAGGTTATGCTAAATAGACTTCATGCTTTATTGTTGATGTCTACTTTTGAAAAAAAGGAAAAAAAACCATTACAAGTTGGTGAGTTCTCAACTTTATCATCAAGTTTCAATTTAACGGATTCAGAACAACTAACAAAATTTTTAGTAAATGCAATTGAGACAGACGATAAAAAATCTTCTGCAATAGAAAAAATAGGTAAAGAAGAAATTGGTAAAAAAGTCCCCCGATGGTCATACAAATTAATAACTGAATTGGAACAAATATCGTATTTTACAAATCCACCAGATGATCATGATATTCGTTCAAGAAAAGGGATCAGTGTATTAATTTTTGAAGAACCTAAGACTCTCAAAGATAAGACTACAAACAAAGATAAGAATACAAAAGATACAAATATTCAAGCTATAAAATCCGACGATAATGAGAAAGATAAAAATATTAAAAAGAAAAAGGAAGATGAGGATAATAAGCTTTTTTTATTACGATATCCGCACCAATCTGATTTTCGCCAAGGCTTAATAAAAGACTCTATGCGAACTCAAAGACGTAAAATAGTTATTGAGGGACTTTTTAAAGCAAATGCGCATTCCCCTCTTTTTTTTGACAGGATGAGGAAAAAAACCTTTTTTTCTCTACCATACCTGGCTCAACTGAAACGGCTTTTTAGAAAATGGTCATCCATAAAAGAGTTTGGGATTTTAGAATCTACAGAGGAAAAAAAAATAATAATAAAAAGAGAAACCAAAAAGGAAAAAAAAACGACGAGAGGAAATAGAACGGTTAGAGATAGGGGAAGCCTGGGAGACTTTTCCATATACCCAAATAATAAGAGGTTTTTTATTAATAACCCAATCAATTCTCAGAAAAAAGATTCTATTACCTTCATTCATAATCGGTAAAAAATATCGGGCGTATGCTACTATTTCAAACTCCTGAATGGTCTGAAGATTTAAAGGGATGGAATAGAGAAACGCATGTGAAGTGTACTTATAATGGTATTCCGTTAGCTGACAAAAAATTTCCGGAAAATTGGTTGACAGAAGGTATTCAAATCAAAATTTTATTTCCTTTCTGTCTCAAACCTTGGCACGAATATAAATCGCTAAATTCTCGTGATGACTTTTGTTTTTTAACAGTTTGGGGGAAGGGAAACAGAACACCCTTTTGGTCATCCACGACAAAAACCTTCGTTTTTTAAGCCTGTTTTTAAGGAACTTTACAAATTTGTAAAAGTAAAAATTAAATTTTTAAAAAAGTTTTCAAAAAAAAACACAAGTTCAAAAGAAACAAGAACAATACACCCGAGTGTAATAAAAAATGAAAAAGATGATCTAATAAATAACCAGATAATGAATCAACCCTTGAGTAAAATTGAAAAAATTACAGATTGGAAAAAATTATTCACCGATAGACAAAATGCAGGCTATCACTCATAGGGACAAGTACAATTAAAAAAAAACTAGAAAGAATTACGGAAGATAAGAAAAGGGTCACTCTAGAACTTGATATGAACCCTTACAAAAAAAGTTCGAGATTAGCCTTGTCAAAAAATTTTTGTCAAATGTTGAAAAAAAAAAAAAAATAGATTAATATATAAATTTAATTATTTTATAAAATTATTTATTCAAAGAATATCTAATTGTATTTTTTTTATATACTATATCTATTTGGCCAAATGACTCAAAAAGTCTTTGTGGAATCAACAAAAATGAACTCTCTTTCAAATTCAAATATAAAAACGCATAATAATAAGCTTTATAAGGAAAATTCAGAGAGTTTTGGTGATTTATCCAACTTGTACACAAGCATATGTATTGTACAAAATATCAGAAAGGGGTTTTTTGAACGTACGTAATTTCATATCTGTTCTTCAACAAAATGGAACATCTTTCTTGATTAAAAAGAAAATAAAAGACTCATTTCATACACAAGGAATACTTCCATCTGAAGGAATAAAAAAACAACTTAAGCGGCCTAGAACGAGTCAATGGAAATTTTTGGTTAAAAGGGAATTCTCACTACGATTTATCTCCTAATTTCTGGTCTGCCTTAAGATCACAAAAACAAAAATGGAGAAATAGGGCGAATCGCTATCGTAGGTCTAAACAAAAATATTTAGACAAAAGGACTTCCGGTAAAAAATTAAAATTAAATACTTACAGGGAAACAAAAGGATGCTAACTCAGTCTTGAATAAAAAAACAAAAGATAATTAAAAAAAATGCTATCGATATGATCTTTTAGCATATCAATACATTCAGTATGAAAAAAAATAGTGGAACCCCTCCAGGAGCTAAACGGGGAAGCAATTTCTTATCATTACAAGATGTCACAAAACAACTTGTTTGCGATAACGAAAAATATTCCTATCACTAGTTTCAGAGGAAAAATAGAAAGGTTAAATATTCC